TTCTGTATTACCAGCATTAGACCAGAGGTGCTCAGGGCAGAGCCCAAGGCAGCTGCTCATCTCAGGGATGAGCCCCACACCAGCACTTCTCTCCTGGGACTGGGGTGCAGCCAAGGCACATGGAAACCATTGGGCTGGGTACCCAATTCCCTCTTCACAAGCTAAGTAGTGCAGTGGGTTCAAAGCTACATGTTCCATCAAAACAGGCTCAGGCAGTTGCACCTTCCATGGCCCCACACTCGTGCACCCAGCACAGCACAGTGAATTTTAGAAGAGGCATTATCACCATTTGATAAAAACACCCAAGTGCTATCTGCTGGGCAGGGTGCCTGCCAGTGTGCGATTATGAATATTGCCTTAACTTTGGTGAGAACTGGTAGTATGAGTTTTTGCTGCCTTTTTGTCATACTGTCATGTTAAAGCTATTTAAATCTCTGCACCCCAGTGCTCATCGTGCTGCAGCCTCATTGCAGAACAGGCTTGTGGTGTTAGAGTCCCTGCCTGCCCACCCTAATGAGGGATGATTTGCAGCACCAGGTTATTAGTGGAAGGAGGCTGTGCAGGGAAGAACAATGTGGATAAAGGCTTGGAAATAGCCATGCCTTTTCTCTCGTGGACAGCACCGCAATCATGAGAAAATCAATCAGAACACGAGAAAAAAAGCAAAGGTAGTAATGCTCTCTCTTTTGATCCAGCAGCATTCAAGTGGGGGCAAATGCTGGGAGAGCATGTCCTGAGCCCTCGGAGCAGCCCCTGAAGGTGAGAGTGGGGTGCTTTATTTCTGAGAGCAATTTTGCCTTATGGGCTCGCGCACGTCACCAAAGCTTCATTTTGCTCCCAGTGAAAGAATCAAAGCAGGCATGGAGAGCCATAAAATGCCATCATTTGGCAAAACACAGAGTGGTTTATCTCCAAGCACAACTAAGGAGCACCCTGTAGCTCTCAGAAGGGTGTATTTGTGCACAGAACAAGAGACCAGAGATTGGCCACAGGGCAGTACATGGTTTAGGTGCTGATTTAGGACCTGCTACCCTCCTTGTGAGGAGCAGTCCTGGGAGCCAGGTCCACCACTGATGTCTTTTTGGAGCCAACCCCATGTGTGAAGGACATAGGGACTTATCCATGAATGCCCAAATCCCCAGGGAAGACTACCACTGGTGGTTTTCTGGGATACCACACAATGCTTATGGTCCTCTGCTCACAGTGTGTTTGCTCCTCGAGCCTGCTCCCAGCTGGCAGTGTGAGAGCTTGGCACTGTTTTGGGGATGGGATCCAGGTGACACTGCACATCAGTGTGCACCATGGCTCTGGAGGTGTTTGCTCTCCAAAATTGTGCTGCAGAGCCACCCACTTCTTGCTGAGCAAAACCAAGCCAGTGTGTTTTCAGGTCTCAGACAAACATGCAGTCAGCATCACCAGGTCAGCTCCAAGATGAGGCAGAGGCGCTTTTTGAGATCTAGGTATTAGGGTTAATGAGAGGCTCTGAGTTCTGTTCTTATTGTAGAAGTCAGGGCATGCAGTCAGACTGCAGCTGAGGTCGGGAAGGGCCATAACACACAAGTGCTGGACTTGGAAAGGAATGGAGACCTTTCTGCTGGAAGAGCACTGAGAAAGCCTGTTAAATGCCCACCAAGTGTGTCAGTTATATTGGGTAACGCTGATGTACTGTATTGTGTGCTGGAATGAAAACTGGACTATGGCTTGACTACAGAAACCTGTAAACCTGCATTAATAGAAGGCAGGTTAAATTTGTCCTTTTCTTCATCCTCTTCCGCTGTACTTGCATAATCACAATTCAGAGGTGAGAGACAAATCCTGACCTAACATTTGCTTTTCTGTTTTTTTTGTAAACAGCAGCAACCAGGGCTCTGGAAACTGGTTTTATGATCTAATAGAGCTGGCACAGTGGGACCCCATCATTTAACAAACTGCTTTGGGCTAAAGTTTGGCCAGGGACATGAGGCACAAAGCTAAACCCCTGCAGGTTTTACCTGTTTCACACCAGAAATCGTGTTTCAGGGTGAAAAGCCATTGGCAAACATGTCTGTGTGAGGAAGTTGTTTTGCTCCTGTGAAGTTCCTGGTCTGTGTGTGGAGCTGGGAATGAGTCTGCTGTGGTACATCAAGTGGGAATGCACAGGTGGGAGGAGATGGCTGGGATGTGGGGGTGGAGAAGGGTGTAGCACTGCCCTAGGTGGGTGATGGAGCTGCCTAAATGAGCAGATACAATTCACATTAATGTCCTGCAAGCTTCCAGCTCTCCAAGTGCTGCTGGAGTTCTACTGGGCAGTGTGTAACTCCAGCTACATGTGCCTGACAGCAAATAGTGTAAAACTGTAAAGTGCTGCGTAGTCCCAGGACATGCCAACTCCTGCAATGACATCTGTGGATATACGTCCATCTGGATCACCTGGAGGATTTTTGAGGCAGCTCCTGTGTGTGCACAAGCCCAGGGCCTGGTGTCAGGATTCATGAGCAGATACAAATCCCACTGCAGGTGGAGGTGTTGCCTTGGCCACTGGTACATGTTCTCTGGTTTTTAGGGACCGCCGGGTTGCAAAGCAGGGCTCTGGAAGCAGAGCCAGTGTTTCCTGTGTTCAGCTCCCGCTGGTTGAGCTCTCCACAGGCTCCAGTGTCAGCCAGAGGTTACTTATTTCCCAAATAGTGTTTAAAAATTTGTGAAATTTGGCTGATATTGTTTATTAGGGGTTGTGAGAATGAAATCCACTTACTGGGCTCTCAGCTGCAGTGGGAGGAGGGCGGTTCAGGGTGTGGGGGAGAAACAACATGGACATCACTGGGAGATGAGTTAGATGGATTTCTTTTGTTCCAAATTTGAATTTTTTTTCTCAAGATGCAATTTACCTCTTCAAGGCCACAAGGTTTTTGCAAAGGATACAAACTCTATGGAATCCCATCTGGAAACACTGACTGGGCTTAGAGCAGCAGCACCCCAAAACCAGCAGAATCCATAACAGAGAGGGGGTTCTCCTGGGTATTTAGGTATCTAATAATTGCTGCTTTAAATAGGGCTTATGCAAATGCCATTTGACACAAACTTACATAACTGCTGAGTATCTATCATCTCAAATTTTGACATGTAGGTGCTATTTTTCCAGTATACTTTATTTTTGGCAAAAATACAATAGGACATGATTTTCTGTCTGTGCCTGCCTCCATCAAAGGTGCTTTTCTAAAATGAATGAAGATTTCTGGTAAAGTCCTTTCGACCTGTTTCATCATCAATTTAACACAAGAAATAAAATGCAGCCAAATTGTTCTCGTTTATTTGTGAAGCTGTGATACAAAATGTAGAGGTAGAAAAGCTTTTAGAACTGGAACTGTTTGAATGAAACTCCAGTTATTTTCTCTATGGGCTACTGACATACAAGTCAGTAAGAACACAGCAAAATTTTGACTCTTAAAATCTCTATATGGTTTTTGGTTTTTTTCAGTTAAAACTGGCAAAGTTCGTTCCGACAAGGAAGAGTTTCCAGAAATGGAAAGTTGAAGATTCTGAAAGAACTCTTCCTGCAGAGCTACCCTGTCTGTCACATTGATGAACAGCCCTGTGCCTGCAAGGGCTCTTGTCTTCCCTACATGAAAAATGGATCTCAAAAGCCATGTCCAGACCCTAAATAGGTTGGGGGCACACCTGTGCTCTTTCATGTAGGGAAGGCTTTGGGGAAAAGATGCCAGGAACATCAGGTGCTGTGGAAATACCCTGGGAAGTAGAGGAGAAAAGCTTTGTCTCTGCTGGAAAGTGTTTGCCAGTCCATGCTGAGAACTGTGGTGGGTGAGAACAGATGAGACCAGTGCCAGCACTGCTTTGCCAGCACAGGTTGTTTGCCACTGCCTTCTCTGCCTGCAGCATCCCCTCTGCCCCTGTACAACCTGCCAGACACAAGGCAGGAGGAACCTTTACCTGTGTTACTACCTGAGACAGATTGATGATACCTATCTTGGCCTGACTTCACTGTCCTTCAGTAAAAAACGCTTTTGAAATCTTGCTTGCACTTTTTTTTTTTCCAGTGAAGTTATTTCTTACAACTTGGACAAGCCCAGGTTGGATGGGGCCCTGAGCAACCTGGTCTAGTGGGTGGCAACCTGCCCATGGCAGGAGGTTGGAACTAAAAGGTCTTTAAGGTCCCTTTTAACCCAAACTGTGATTCTATGAGTAACCCTCAAGACAAGCAATGCTGGATTCATCCATCAGTGCTGATGGAGATGTGTGTATCTTTCTGGAGGCATCAGGCAAGAGTTGATTTTATGTTGCAAAAGTGAAGGTTATCCAGGTTTTGGTTTTTTTCCTTGCTTTCCATATAAAAGCAGTTTATTTTGCACTGGTACCAGTTTGAAGCAGTGGTTCCTATTCACCACCTGCAGACAGCATGTCTGTGTTACTCCACTGGCTTTAGCATGTCTATATAGAAAAGTTTTAGTACTGAGGGAAGCAAAACTAATGGCTGGTGTCTTGCCCATGACAGCTACAGGGTGTGTTAAATGTTTAAGTGTTCCCTGCTAGATATGAAATATTTTCCTTCTTGTGCAAGAGTCATATGAAAGTGGCTAATCTTCTTTAATAAAAATGCGTGTATTTTGCTAGGTTTGGCCAAATGTCCAATAACTTGCAGAAACAAATCTGTTTCCTTGGTGAGAAGGAAGGAAGAAGTCCCATCCTCCCTCCCAAGAAGCAGCCCCTTTCTTTCTGACTTTTGTGACCCCAGGTTAAATGTTTAAATTTCATTCTATACACAAAGTTGTGGCAATTTCACAGTGTTTCAGTATATAGCTAAAATTTACAGTCTCTCCTGATGAAGTGTTCAGGCTAAATGAAGTAATTAGTGTGTTTGTAGTTTTCGTGCAGAAATTAAGTGTGTCTACACAGGGCTCCCACAGGCGAGGAGGGGGCGTGGCAGTGCTGAGCCAACCCAACAGAGACCAGCTCCTCCAGCCTGTGTGAATCATGCCAAACCCTCCACCAACACTGAGCCAGTAGGGTTATAAAGGGTCTTATCACTTTATTTCTTTTTCTGTTCACATTTAATACCACAGACACAGCTGAGACTCGAAACACTGACGTGATGCCGGGTGCGTGTGATGGGTTCGTTTACACAGACGGGTCATTAGTGAGCTCACATCTTCACAATCCTTTTGAGATTCCCCAGTGTCTTGTTTCCCTGAGTTGCATGACATCTGCCATCAGATCTGCTTGTCAGTCAATGAGTGAGAGAACAAAATGGGCCGTGAGATGGATGTGGTTAGAGGTGAAGTGGGAGATGATCCCATAGCTCTGCAGTACCTTAATGTGTAGTGTGTGTACATCAAACCTGCACTCCTGCGAGCGTGGAGTGGGGAGGGCACAGGCTCAGGAACCACCAAGGAGCAGCAACCAGCCCCTGACCCCAGCAAAGCGCCAGGTGCTAGGAAGGATGTGGTGTGTAGAGAAGAGGCCAAATTCTCTTGTGAGTTTTACCTGAGCAGCACCGCCAGCTAGAGGTGTAACAGGTGTAAAGTGGCCCAGTGTGAATGAGGGTTTGAAGGCAGGAAAGCTTCTGCTAACAGCAAATTCATTAAGGAGAACTTAAATTCATTATGGAGAATGAATACTAGAACCAAGTGAACAGAAAGCTGCTATCACATGCATGCTCTGAAGCTCTATGAGCTGGAGCACAAAATCCACGTGTTGGTGAGACAATATAAGACATATTTATTAGCACAGCGGATGGAACATTTTCTGGTGTGCCTTGAAATGGCATACTTAAATCTAATTTAAGATTTTTATGAATCAAGTATGAGAATGTGTCTGCCTGTGTCTTTTAATGCAGATTTTTCTATTTTTTTCTCAGGTCACATTGGTTAAAAAATGTAAAATGTTCTCAATTCAATACTGCAGCAAACGAGTACAATTGCACACTGGGCTTTACAGGGGGATGTGGGACTGAGAACTGGCTAATAGACTTCAAACAGAAATGTGGAGGGGGTTTACAAGCAGGAGACCTGTCCTCAGCAAACCTTGGGGTATGGACGGGCACAGTTAGGGACAGGTAGCCACAAACTTGTTACAAATACCAAATAAATACAACTAAAAGCTTCCAAGTTCAACCACATTGTGTCACTCACAGTCACACTGAACAAAACAAGTATAGATGATTTAGCTAGTATAAAAAAAAAGAGAGACTTTGGTGGGAGATTGCATTCCACATTTTTATAGCATCACTGCAGTCCTGAAGTCAGCCCTGTCCTTGTCCCACTGATATATATTTAAAAAAAATATTTCAGTACAGTCATGTTGTAAGCCACTTCTGTGAAGGCATTTTTTGTTTCCTTTCTACTTGGACGTGACATGAAGGTCATTTATTTTTAGCATGTGTAAAAATTACCCATTTTACCTCTCTTTTTTTTTTTTTTTTTTTTTTTAAGAAATCATTTCCTCCTTCTGAGAAAAACGTGAGCTTATTTAAAAATCAGGATTATGAAAAGTGTATCAAATTTCACGTTTACTACTCCAAAAAGGCAATTCAGTTTTCTCTCTCTAGGGTCTGGTTATATGGTAGCAAAATTCTTAGCAAAACTAAAGCTAACTCTGGAAACATTCAGCTCGAATTAGCTGCTACTGAAGTTGTACAAGTGGGCCACATTTGCTTGGTCAGGAGGGCACAAGCCTAGATTTGGGCTAAAGTCAGCATTAAAAATTCATATGGGCAAAAGCAGCAGACAAATTATACTTGAGTGTTTCCAAATTCTTTGACCATTTGTCTCCTTTTATAGTCTCAAAGTTTAGCTTGTTGTTTTCTTGCGTCTTTAACTGCCTGCATTACATCTTTCAGCAGATCCGGACGATGACAAAAGTACGGCTTTAACATTCCGATTCCCGTTTCTTGCCCTCTTTCCCTTCTGTTATGGCTTTCTGGGAAATGCAGTGAGTGATGCACCAGCCCTGGAAACCATGTGTCATGTGATGACACTTGACTCTGTCCACACACGGGAACTTTCCTGCTTTGTGCTGGAGAGTCTTTTCCTTGGGAGGGGTTTGAGTCCGAACAGGCGGCAGGCGGCCACGCGGTACTTCTTGGACATGATGTTGTAGAGGATGGGGTTGATGGCTGCACTAAGGTAGAAGAGGACAAAGGACACCAGGTTGCAGTACTGGCTGATCACTGCTATCTCCCAGGATCCGGCTTCAAAGGATTTGGAAAATAAATATCGTCCTACGTGAAAAGGCAACCAGCAGAGTATGAAAGCAAATACCACCACAACTAAAATAAAAACAGCAGAAGAAATTGTGTTAAGTGTGAGTATTAATAAACAGGTCATTAACATTCTCTTTTACAGTTCTATTCCTTTAGCAAATTAGTCACAAAGTGTGAAAATACATCCCCTAAGCTTTTAGTTGTCTGTCTCTCAATACATTCTCTGGGACTATAAATTAGTGATACTTAATACACATTGATCATATCTAAACAGGCTGCCTGAATATTGCCCAGCTCATCTGATGTAGCAAACTTCTGACCTGTAATACTTATGTTTGCATCAACAGAGAATTAAAGAATCCGAATGGTGACAACAAAAAGCTTAACAGTCTATCATCCACAGTGTTTAACAAAATCAAATGATATGTGATAGACTCAACACTGTGGTTTATAATGAAGAATGTAATCACTGGGAAGCAAAATTATTTAAGGCAAAGCAAAATTGTTTAAGGCAAAGGCCTCAAAATAAATCAATCCACCAGAATGTGGACTTGTAGAGCACATGTGCTAAGGTAAGAACAAGAGAGTGGTGTACCCTTCCAGTTTGTCCATTTTTTAGAACATGAGTTACTCCTGGGAAGAGTAAAACCAAATATATAGTATATAACTGCATAATTATAGTTATACAGTGTATCTGTAATATAACACTACCACTGTGGTTGCATTTACATGTAAATATGTCTGTAGAGTGATAGGAATGTGTTTGTCTCTGAAGAGTGGCCCATTTGAATTTTCATCCAAGAGAAAGGGAAACTTTTTCTGTTCATTTCCTGTGTGCCTTTGACCTTTATTATTTTTCATATTTCTTTGAGTGTATCTATTAATATACTAAAGAGATAAAAACCAGAAAACTCGGGCAAGGGTTTTTGACATTCTTAAGCAGTTTTTACAGTTAACCTGTTCATAGAGTTCACAGAATGATTTGGGTTGGAAGGGACCTTAAAGATCATCTCATTCCAACCCCTTGCCATGGGCAGGGACACCTTCCACTAGACCAGGTTGCTCCAAGCCCTGTCCAATCTGGCCTTGTGTTCTCATGTTTCCCTAGCTCACTTGAGGACTTCAGTCCATGTAATGAATGTTACCGTGATGGTCATTACGAAGAGTGTTTTAAGCACAGTCTATTACGAGTAGAATTTTAAGCACATGTTGTAGGCTTTCACAGTTTGATCTTCATTCATGCAGAAAGAATCCCATGGATTTCAATAGGAATGGGATATGATAGCTCCTTTGCAAGCTGGGCTATACATTTAGGTGTTTAATTGCAGACCCACAAGCATAACCTTTCTCTACAGTTTAAAAGTGTTTATGCTAATCCCATTTACTTGATGTTCCATGACTTGCTAAAGGCTTAGAAAGTGCCTTCTAAATTTTAATCAGAACATTAACACCAGTGAGATTAGACTGCAATGAGCATCTGCTGCTACTGAGCCCTCACTAACTTCTTTCCATCTTTCCATCAGGCATCAGACTGTTATCATTTAGGGAATATTGGCTCTCTGTCAGAGGACAGTCTTGCCACTGCTTGCTGTTCTCAGACCTTGTAAAAGGAAAAAAAAGGTGACTGAAATATTGTGATGCTTGTGGCAATACTTCAGGGTAGGAATAAACAGTTGTAATTATTTCAAGATCTTTATGGTTAAGTATATGGAAATATAAACACAGTAGTAGTTTGTGTAATTTACTTATAGTAAGTGGAGATTCATAATCCTGAACCTCAGGAGTGTAAATGATTAATTACTTCCAAGGTCACGCTTAGCAGACTGAAGTAATTCTATTGATCATAAAATGTAGTTGAAAGGGCACAAAGAATGCTGTGGGTTCTATTATTCTTCCTGCTATTGCATAGTAATAAATTAGGATGTGAACAAAAAATCAGTTAGGCTCCCGTTTGATAATTAAAGTCCTTAGGACTCACTGCCACTTCTTGTCTGGCTCATTAGCCCACCACTTCAACCCCACTGAAACCAGCACAGCAGAGCTGCTGCCCATGAAACCTTCTTCCTGCAGAGCATCTCATCCCTCCTGAAATCCACGGGATGACTTGCACTGCGGAGGACTTTTGGCTTGAATAAAAGTACGCAGCAGCAGCAGGATTCTGCAGTTTTCAGAACAACTTTTTTGGTTCTGTTCATCAAACTCCCACCACATGCACTGACTTAGTATGTTAAAATCTGTGTTTCCATGTGCCAGCCAGAACTGTTGTTTAAAGCATTCAGCAATGTCAATATACAGAGTTAAGCATAACAGTGTCTGTTGTCTTGATCCTTTTTTTACAACTGTTTTTTTACAGTCAGTGAGATTTTACAGCACCACAGACCTCAAAGGAGACACAAGGCTCTGGGTTCAGCACATCCTGGTGTTTTGCTAATGTAAAAATTCAGATTAATTTTCTTAAGCTTATACAGCCATGGTAGGAAATAATCCCAATTTGCTAAAACCTTGGTACTCTTTTCATATAAATCTTCAAGTGCACATCATGCCCTGCCTACTTAGTCTGCAGCTCGACTTCATGGTTTCAGAAGGGTTTAGTTCTGTTTAAAAATCAAATAAACTGTTCTTCTGTAAATAACATCGGTATCCACAACCAAAGAGCAAAAATTCTCAAAAATCTCCAGGGCACAAGCTAATTATAACTGTAGTATTTGTCCTTGTCAGGGATTGTTATTAATGTTTGTTTAACTGTTTGGGAGTCCCCAGCTCAAATCAGTTAGAAATAAATCTAAAGGAGGAGGAGAGTTACTCTACAGATTCCTGGAGTTCTATCCCTTTGCATGAAACATTTTTCATAAATGCTTTCCTTTGGAAGCAACTACAGTAAACTACCAGAGAGCTCTCAGTCTTTCTCTCTTTCACACACACATCAGCACACACACCCTTTGGAAAAACAGAGCAAGAAGACTCGTACCTAACATTTTCACAGTTTGCTTGTTGTTCTTGTCCCTGATGACGGTGTTTAGACCGATGTTCTTTCTCTTCCTCCTCCAGAGCTTCCTCCCGATGAGGCTGTACAGCACGGTCAGGCAGAACACGGGCAGGAAAAAGAAGATGCTGGAGATCCAGACCATGATGGTGAGGAGCCCCGAGCGGATGGCATACTCGGTGGCTCGACACTCGTTGGTGCTCAGGGGATTTGTGCCGTTCTCGTGCTCGACCCCCACCAGGATGAAGATGGGTCCGGCGCTAATGAAGGAGACAGCCCAGAGGAAGAGGATGACCAGCTTGACCTTCCCCTTGGTGATGATGACTTTAGCTCGGAGGGGGAAGCAGATGGCGACGTACCGCTCCACGCTGAGCGCCGTGATGTTGAGGATGGTGGAGTAGGTGCAGCTCTCGCTGATGAACTGGAAGAGCTTGCAGAGGAGGTCCCCGAAGTTCCAGGGCCGGTACTGCCAGAGGCGGAAGAGGTCCAGGGGCATGCAGAGGAAGATGAGCAGGTCGGAGAAGGCCATGCTGGACAGGTAGAAGTTGGTGGTGGTCCTCATGTCCCGGAACCGCGACACCACCAGCATGGTCATGAGGTTGCCGACGATCCCGATGACGAAGAGCAGGACGCAGGCGACGGTGATGCCGGTGAGCACGGGCACGGGGAACAGGTGCTGCGGGGCCTCGGCGCCCGTCCGGTTCTCCGCGCCGCGGCCGCCCGCGCTCCCCTCCGGCATCCTGCCGCCGAGGGATGCGCATCCCCGCCGGGCGCGGCGCGGCCCGGCCCCGCGCGGTCCCCGCGCCGCTGCGCGCCCGAGCAGGTGCGGGGCCGGAGGTGGGGAGCGACGGGCGGCCCCGCTCCGCCTCTCCCGGGCACTGTCGCTCCCCCCGGCCCGGGGCGGGCGGGCGCTCGCCGCGCGTCACACGAGACGTGGGGCGGCCCCGCGACCCCCGGGCGGCCGCTCCACCCGCGCCGGCACCGGCATTTAAACTTTCTTCCCGAGCCCCCGGCGCGGGAGGACTCACCCACCCCGGCGGGTCCGGCGCTCCCGGTCCGCCCCCGGCGCCTGCCCCGCCCGGACAGGTGCGGGTCCCGCCTGGTCCCGCCTGTCGGTGCTCTCGGAGAGGCGGGATCGTCCCTTGTCCGCCGTTCTCAGGGCTCTGTCCCCGCGCACATCCCCCCGCGCCGCTCAGCCGCGCATTTCCTCAGCCGCGCATCCCCTCACCGCACATCCCACCGGGACCGCGGCGATGGGTGCGATCGCTGCCTCCTCGCTCTGTATCTTTGCTCTGCCCTTGGGTCTTGGCAGGAGCCCGGCGAGGCTCTAGTTCAGTGAAGCTGCAGTAGTCACCCGTTTCCATATGATTTACCTGCAATTAAATTTCGATTCAGCGTGTGGCTGCTGCCCTTTGCAGACGCAGGCATCAGAACCGCGTGTTTCCCCAGCTGCAGACTCAAAGGACGATGTTGTACCCAAAAGTAAAATGGAAGCAGCACAAGGTGAGATCAGGGGCACTAAAGTGACCCCCTGTACATCTGTATAGGGTTTATCTCTCCCTCTTTTCAACCTATCCCCACAAATTGTCAGGGAGTGTGCACTGTGGCACAATCAATTTTCGCTTCTGTCTATCCACAGGGGCTGCATCCCTCACACCCCATCTCTGAGGTGGCAACTAGTGCTCTGAATCCTTGTTGGTATCTAGATTGACCACAGAATCACAGAATGGTTTGGGCTGGAAGAGACCTTAAAGCTCATCTCGTTCCAACCCCCTGCCATGGGCAGGAACACCTTCCACTAGACCAGATTGCTGCAAGCCCCATCCAATTCAGCCAAGAAAGAGCTTTATGCCGTTTTTCCAGGTGCACTCACACACATGTGTACACCTCCTCTAGCATTCCTAGCTGCAGGAATGCAGGTACTGCCAGAGGCGGAAGAAAGAGGTAAAAAAATACCCTTTATTTAAGGGTAGACATATCTCAAGCATGGTGTGACACAACACCGAGTTACTCTGCCTGTGCCCCTGAATGTGCCTGTTCTCTGTAATTTGCTTTCTGTAATCGTGCAAGCATTAGCCTTAGTGCCTTGTCCATAGCCTAATTTGGATGATATATTTTTGCAGTTTCACTGGAATCAGTATTCATCAGTACTGCTCTTAAACTGTGAGACAGTTTTGTAGCAAGTTACTCAACAGTTGCTAAATTTTATGAGGAATGGCTACAGATTAATTGCAGTTGAAAAGGAGAAAGAGCCTAATGTACTTCTCACTTTGTCTATCCAGCTGCCTATATAGCTGTGTTATATGTTTCTGAAAAAAAATCATGGGCTTTATGCCACCAACATACAGTTAGTTCATATTAGAATTGTGTCCCCAGTCTAATTTACATGACACTGCTTTATATTATGGAGATAATAAATGCCTCTGTAGTTAGGATGCCAAATACTTTGCAATGTTATAAATAATTATTTCTCTCTCTTTTTTTTTTTTTTTATTTCTTTTCCCTGACCAGTGGTTTCAGCTGCAGGATGTTGATATTTGCCAGAGAAAATGGCCTGATGCTATAAATGTGACTTTTCTATATAGAGACCATCCTTCGTTCTCATGAAATGCTTCCAGTTTTTGCTGAGCTGCATCTTGTCAAAAATGATCATTTCCTTTTTTTTTTTTTTTTGGAAAATCATTATTCCTTATTAAAATGATACTTGAACTATGATGTATGTGTCAAAATCAAGTTCAAAAGTGAGGTAGCACCAGGTTTGTGTACTCCAGACAACTTGAGCTTGTAATGCAATGATTTAACACTTAATTCCTGGTGTGTTGAGTGATGAGCCACTTGGATCAGACCTGGCAGTTGTGTTTTGAATCCAGCAACATCGATTTCCTTCTTTTAAGGGTATCATGAGTCAAGGGCTTCTCTGGTTGCTTTTCCTGCATGGGGACAGGACCAGAAAAAAATGTCATCTGAAAGAGAAGAAAAGCAGCTTTAGTTTTCTGATTCTTTCTGATTTCTTTGGCAATTGCAGGCCAAATTTGATGAAATATAAAGAAGTCATCCCACGAACTTTGCATGATAATGGATTATTGCCTCTGCGTTGCATATGCTAAAGGACAGTGGTGCAGATAGTGATGATAGAAGAGGTAAGAGCTGTGAGAGAAGATGGTTTTAGGCTCCCAAAAATTGTCTGCTAGCCCTCAGCTGCAGGAACATTAGTTTTACATTGCCAGCAAGATAAGAGTGAAGTCACTGGTCTTATTGGAATGAGAGAAATGGAGAGACAGAAGCAGAAGTTAAGTACTTTTTTATTCAGTTTTATCCACTAGCTGGATGCATGAACAAGCCAGATATCAAAAAAATAATTTAAAAAACCATATTATACTGGACATTTACCTTTCATGGAACCTTAAAATATTGGTGTTTCTCTTCAGTAGCTTCAAAGCTGTATTGAGTACTGGAGATGAGGTAGAAGGGAGTTTCTATTTATGGAGTTTCGAGGTCTCTCTCCTATGTTCCGTTCTTTCCATTATCTCCCCATCCAATAAAAGTTCTAATTCTTGTTTATATCATTGTTTGTTGTCATGGAAATGTCCAAAAGCTTTGAATATAGAATGATTATGTGTTTATTGTGGAGAGAAGAAGAAACTGGAAAACAGACTCGGAGGTAGAGATTCATTTTAAAATGATGCACCTTCAACAACTCCAGAGAGGAGCAAATGCAGGTTTTTTTATTATATCCAGGGACAAAGGGTGTTTTGCCTGCTATTATAAATGTGTTTTAGAACAGAAGGTAGCACCTGGTGTATGCTTTCAAAGGTTACGGTTTAGCAACCATCATCCGTGAGGAGCACTGATGAAATAGTGGTAATCCAGCTTAATAATGTAAAACCCAGAATGGGTTCAAATTACTTTACAGTTGTTTATATGGCAGTATATATCTGCAAGCAGACTTCAAAACAGTGCTGGTTTATTATCAGCAAAGCTGTGCTCTGAGGTCACTCATTCAGAGGCAGCTGTTTTAGTCTCAGCTTTTTGCTGTGCTTCAGCTCACTGTGTCACCACGTGACACCCTGGGCATTCCTGTCCCTCTTTATTAGACTCATTCACCAACTGGAGAAAGAACAGGGTCCCTTGGTGTGGTGGTTCCAACTCCCTTGCCATAGGCAGGGACACTTTCCACTATCCCAGGTTGCTCCAAGCCCTGTCCAACCTGGCCTTGGACACTTCCAGGGATGGGGCAGCCACAGCTTCTCTGGGCAACCTGTGCCAGGGCCTCACCACCCTCACAGGGGAGAATTGCTTCCCAATCTCTAACGTAACCCTGCCCTCTGTCAGCGTGAAGCCATTCCCCCCTGTCCTGTCACTACAAGCCCTTGTTCAAAGTCCCCCTTCAGCTTTCTTGTAGCCCACCATAGGGCCTGGAATATGCTTTCAGGTCTCCCTGAGCCTTCCCTTCTCCAGGCTGAACAAATATGGGTAAAGATCAGGTATTTCCCTACTAAATAAGTATTCCCAGTGCTTAAATAATTGCTAAAGCGCAGAAACATGAGAAGAACCTAAAGGGAAGTGCTCAAAATTTTGTACGCTCTGGTCACAAGATCATTTTCAGGGATTTCTTCAGCACACTGCTTCCAGATGTTGTTCACTAACTGAGGTCTGGAAGCCAGTTAGATGGGATTACACAACATGGCATTGCTCAATGGTTTGCAGTTTTGTCCTTTGCAACCGTTTGTGGCATTTAATGGACTATATATGATACCAATCAATGTCAGGGAAATTATTTACGACAGGGTTGTTGTGGAAGCCATAGGATAACAAACACCAACAATCACCACAAGACTAAATAACTATTTAGTAAAAACATTTTATATAAAAAGCATATAGAAAAATTTACAATATTCACACATTAACGGAACCCACATCCACAAGTAAAAATTTGCTACATTTGCTATTGAACATAAAATGAGATGAAAGGTATGACTCAGGATATGATAGAAACAGAACTTACTATGTTTTTCCCATCTTCTTCAAGCGTGTTCTGTCTTATGTTCCTTGATAACGACCCATCAAGATAATATCTGTCAAGCATGCTTTTGGATTATTCAGAAATGATTATCTGTATTTCCTGTTGTGTTATGCTCTGCATGCAGAGACCACAAATATGTACATTTAGGTAATAAAGGAAGGTAAAGCCAGGGAGCATTCCCCCAGTGACAACGAGCATAGTGTTAATTGAGAGTTAAGGACAGTACATGGAGTAAGAAAATCTGTTTGTAATAGTTTGTCTTAGCATCAGCTGCAGGTTTGTGGAGTCCCCCATGGATTCCTTCCAGTCCCTTTTAGCAGCCACGACTCCACATCACACAAATTGGTTCTTAGCCATGGGTAGGGTTTCTGACTCTAAGCTGCCACCAGCACTTTTTCACAGTGCAAATACATTTTCATTCAAATAAGTTCCTAAAAAAGCATTTCTTTAAAAAAAATTAAAAATTATTAATATAGTAAATTTCTAAAAAAAACACCTCAAACCTGACAACGTGGGCCAGTCCGGTGCTGAGATTGGAAGGCTCTGTCCATTTGCAAGGAGAACCTACAAAAGTCATTTCTCCAAGACAGCAGACATACAGCTACGCAGGGAATGGTTCTGTTCTCCCAGCCTTTTCTGGCAGGCAGAAAATTCCTGAATTAAATACTGAAATCAGAAAGAAAACTGCAAAAAATATTCTCTGTTCTCTGTCAAAACAGATCATTTCAGAAGGAGGCAAATCAAAGTGTTTCAGTAAATGGTGAAGAATTTCACATATTTGATTACCACTGAAAACAGTGTGTGAGACACTGTTAAACCAGCAGGCAAAAGTTACAACTCTTTATTTCAGGCTTACAGCGGTGTGTTTCTTTGCCCTAATCTGTCTAAAGGAGGGTATTCCTGAAATTCTCTCTCTTGCTGCTCCAACACAGGTAAAGTCAACCAACATACCTTCTTTTCTGAATGGCAAAATAAATGCAGAGGCTCGTGTCTATTAATTTCCTCTTGTTGACTGAGTAGTAAGATGAATGAGCATCTTTACTCGTGAGGCCCCTGTGCAGGGGCTGCTCGGGGATTTGATTACCAGAACGTGCAGGTGAATGTGAGGGTTCCCACGGCAACCTCGGTGTATTCAAAATAGACAACCAGACTGTCTACTGGCATCACTCTGTTGATGTAAAGTAGCATTTGGAGAACTGCCTTCCTTTTCCTCCAATTTTATTTGTTTTCACTTTTACCTTCTCTTCCCCCCTTTTTTCTCTGAATCTGGGCAAAATGTGTTTATGGTGCAAATCGCTGTCGCTCCACTGATAATGCTGCAGATATGCTGATTACACTAGTTATGCTGTGAATCTAGCCCATAGAACTTGAACTTTCAAATCTTCTTAATATTAAATAGTTCTTCTTGAAGAGTTAAAAAATGTAGTGGCCATTTTTAAAAAAATTATTTAACAAAACTATGAAAAAATTTCACCCATTCCTTAAAAAAAAAAAAAATCAAATCAAAGCATAACAGCATTACCTAAAAAAGCAGCATTTGTTAAAGTATGGATAGTTGTGCCTGTTTTCCTAAAAATGTTAGTCATTGGGGTGTGTTATTCTGCATTACATTCTACCAAATAAGACTAGTACAAATAAACACGGAAGAACCACGTCATCCTTAATTTGTGGCAAATTTCTCATAGAATTCAGTATTTACAAAAAACCACTTTTTTTTCCTGGATCAAGTACTTGCTGTTAACAAGTGTAACAGCAACTATATTACTGAACTTACTGGAAGCCTGGTGAAATGTTTACAGCACAGTAATTAAGTAAATAGGCACTGTTATAATACATTGATCAAAACACGGATTGATTTCAAAAGCTCTTCCGTGCCATTTCAGCAGCTGTTTTTATGTACAATATTGAAAATAAGACAAGACTAATGCATTTACTCAAGAAACGATCCTAAAAAAACCACTTAAGCAAATACTTAATTTCAAGCATGTGGATACCCTTAGTCAGGCTGTTCATGTGCTTAAAATTAATTAGGAGCTCAAGTGTTTCATAAGATGAGATGAAGATGTGCAGCTTGATTTTCTGATGGTCTTTTAACTTCCGTAAAACTTGTGTTTAAACAAAAACTTGCAGAGAAATTCCATGGGCACTTGGGAAGCAGTATGTACAAAGGCTCCTTACAGGAGCTGAGATATTCAAGACAGGGTCCCAATGGAGACCACAAGTAAAATCTGATATCCTGTCTCAGCCTTGAGTAAGCGGACCCGGAACATCCGCCACCCCACCTGCCGCAGCTGAGCTGGCGTGGAGCATCTCTGCTGGTGGTGGGCGCTTACCTGCCTGGGGTTGTGGCCAAAGGTATCATCTGTGGGGTGTGAAACCCTCTCACATCCCCAGCCTGGTGGGGTAGTGGTGCCTGTGCCTGCACAAATCAGTGCCACCCACAGCCAGCTGCTGCTGCTCTTCCCGGCTGGTGGGGGAGAACTCGGCACGCTCGGACCTCACGATGAGTGAGCTGAGAAAGGGGAGTCTGCTACTGCTGGTATTGATACAGTTTTTGCTTATTATCCCCTATTTTACAGGAATTTTAAGCTGGTCCTGAATAGGGAAATTGGGTCCTTTGGAAGTATGATTTTTGTCTTTTAGCCGATCATGAAGGCTCCAAAAAAACTTGCTTCTTTCTCCATGTCAACTAAGTCGCTGTTACTGACAGAGACAAAAATCCTGTCCTGTCTTTTCAGCTCAAACACACCACCTTGATAGGTGGAATAAAGTCCATATTCCGCCTTTTTAGACCAGCAGCTTGTTCTTGCACTTTTCATGAGCAAAATGGGCTCAGGGTAATTCGTCAGTCTGTAAATGTATTGGACAAGCTGTTTGGGGTTCCTGATTTGTCCCAACGAATCTGAATCCTCATTCTCATCTTCACGGAAGCGAAAGTAAATTTGTGAGTAGATGTAATAAAAGCCCGTCTGGGGTATCACTAACTCGCCATTTCTCAGCTCCACATTGTAAAGGAAAGAGTGCGTCTTCCTCGACGATTCCCAGTTTATTTTATGTCCGAACCCTTTTCTGGGCAAGAAATCTACTTGAGGAAAAAGATAAAAGAGAAATGTTAACTTAAAAACTAGATAGAGAAGTCAGGTGTCTGCTGGTTGAGGATAATAACAAAGTAAGGAAACCTGCTCTTCACAGGGGTCCATTACATCCATTCTCACAACAAACTGACAGTCCACAAGTGAGCTCTGAGATTTATGTAAGAATTAACATGAACTGCCTTTTCTTTTTTTTTAATTTTTGTGCCCCAAATAAGAGAAAAAATGATGTTGTTACTTAGAAACAAAGTTAAAACAGCCATTAGTGTCTGATACCCTCTGAAGCTGCAGAAACCCTACCAAGTCCTTCATTAACATGTCCTGAATGTCATCTCTCCTGTCTGTGTTGCATTTCTAATAGGTCTGTCACCATAGCAGCTGAGACTCCAACTAACAGAAGGAAGTGGAAAGAAAGAGAAAAACTTAATATTAGAAAGAAGGACACTTAATTTTTTTCCCCTAATGAAGGTTCCAAAAGAAAAATTAGGGAGGCACCCAGAGGAAACGGGCTTTCTCCCTGTTGGTGGAGAATCAGCAAAAAAAAACAATGTCTGGGACAAGATGACTTTTTCACGATTTGTTTCCTACACTTAACTCAATACAAGCATTAAAAAGTGTAGGTAAGCATGAGACTAGCAATGGGAGAGTAATTTCTGTGCTCTTTAAGGTGTTTTAGAGGTTTTTCCTTACAGCGGGTGAAGAGGGAACTCCTCCGGTTGTTGCTGCCCGTCAGATGAGCCGCGGCCCCGTGGATGGGACCACGTGGCTGCTGCCTGTCGGTGTGTGACAGTGCCAGAGTTCTTTCAGCTAAGGGAAGACAAGAAAAGAAACCCCACATCAAAAGCAAGAACATTAGAAGCACATCTGTCCCATCTGACCTGATTTTAAGGAATAGGTACGTCCTTTTTTTAACTAATTAAATCATAGGTTGAATGCTATATATTGGCTAATAAGGCTCAAATTTCTCTTTTGCTCTTGGTCTCCTTGAAATGTCTTTATATGCCTCTTTGTTCTTCTTTTTCTCCTTCTCCCACCTTCAAGTTATCGAGACAAAATAACACATAGTACTGTATTTTATGGTTAATTATTCCTACCTTTCACT